AACAGTCTTGCCCAGCTCAGCCTGGATTGAGGGGTCTTTGACGTGGCTTGGCTAATTCAGTGCTAGCTGTTATGATGGACAGAGTTGTTTGATCCTGGGGCTGTACCTCCCCGCTCTGGTAACTGCCCCCTCTCTGCCTGGGTGTCCGTCTCTGGAGGTGTGGTCACCATGACAGGCTCTGCAGTCTGTCCTGCTGGCTCTTTGTCTATCCTTTGTCCTGCAGCTGCCCCAGGGCTCTCCCCGGCTGCTGGGGTAGCACCGGCCTCTTCTCCTTTGCCTTGCAAATGGCCAAGGCTAGCTACCATTGATCGGTGCTGCCTCAGGAGCGGCAGTACCAGGATCTTAGGGGGCTGGCCAAGGTACATAAGAACATAAGCTGTATACTGGGTCAGATCCTGGTCCATGTAGCCCAGGGTCCTGTCTGTGACAGTGGCAGAAATGGATGCTATAGAGGGAGAGCATCTCTAGAGTGATCTCTCCCCTATTGAGCACCCTCCCTGGAATCCACCGTTATGGGTTTGGAGATGCCAGAGGAGACAGCACTAACCTTCCTGCTCAATAGCCATTAATAGATCTGTCATCTGTGCATTGATCCAGTGCCTTGTTGAAGCTGGCCGTGCTCTCTGCCTGCACAACCTCCCCATCATTCATCAGGCCTGAGCACTCCTGGATGGTTTCCAGAGCAGAGGCTGACACAGGTGGTAGCTACTATAGCGGGGACTGAAAACCCAGCGGAGGGGCAGACAGAGCCCCACCACCCCACAGCAGCGCCCTGTGTCCTCCCACATCTGAATGGTACCAACTTCCAGGCCCCAAATCCTTCGCTCTTGCTGGACCTGGGCACCATGCTTGCAGCTCACAAGATATGTATGGATTAGTCACAAGCTGTGTGGATCAAGGGTCCAATGTTTTGTGGCTCGTGTGGCCTTTATCTTCTCCGTCACCTGGAAGTCCTCCAGGCATGTGTGTAGGGAGCCTGGCTGCTATTTCAAGCCTCAGGGCTTGTCCCTGTAGGGCGAGTTGCTGGAACGGGTCCGCTATAGCCATGCCCAGTGTGTTCCACCCCTGCATGGCAGTGTGCAAGGCGGAAAGGATGAGGCGTGGGGTTTTCTGGCAGCTGTAAGCTTGGGCGTGACAGCTAGCGTGGGGAAAGAAGATTACTTTCTCAGCCCGGGAAGGGCCAGGCAGGGCTAAACCCAGGTCCAAAGGGGAAGCTGCAGCGTGCAGGGGGGGATGTTCTTCCCACCAGCAATTGCCCTTTGGCTCATGCAGAGAGGGCTCGGGTCTGAGGCCCGCAGCTGCCAGGCGCAGCCTGGGCACCGAGACACTGCGTCTTTAGCCATCTGTTCCCAGATCGCTCTTCCGTGTTCAGAGGAAGGACCAAGACCTGGGCATCAAGGCCTACCGCCCTGTTGCATCACCAGCTGGGGCAAACAACCCGTGCTGACACATCTGTGTCATTGTTCTCCTTGCCGAGGACTCAGCGCTGGGTGGAGGTTTCATGCTGGGCTGGCTGGAGCGACAGGCATTGTGCAGCTGTCAGCCTGCCCTGCCTGCCATGCCATGAACGACGAGGGACCCTCCCTGCCCTGCCTCTGTGCCCCGTCGGAAAGGGCAAGTCCCATGGGCTGTTTTGGGCCGCTGGCTCCTCCCTGGGAGAGCCGGGAATGCAGTGGAGGTCTCCAGCCTCCCCACTGAGCAACACTGACAAACCTCCCTCCTCCCTGCTCCATCCCAGCTGTGGCGCGGCATGTGGCCTCTGCTCTCCAGGGTGGATTGCAGTCCCCGGGAATGAATCGGCTGCTTACTGCTGCAATCTCTGTGGATCTCGCATCCCGTCCTAGCAGCGGGAGGGGTGCAGTGAGCACACACATGCTCTGCCCGGGTATAGATGAGGACAGAAGGGGTCAGCTGGTAGGAAATTGCACCCAGAAAGCCCTGTTCTACTCCTGCCTCTCCATCTCTCGGCTCCAGCTGCCCTGGGGATGTGACCGTCACACGCCCTCCGGCCTCCCTTACCTTGAGATGCCCAGCGTGCATTTGCGCCCGCTCGCACATCTGAAGGAAGTACTTCACGTTGGTCTCATCCACGATGATGTAGATGGCCACCTTGCGCCTGAAGCCTGCCTCCAGTAGGTCCTTGAAGATGTCCACGTCGGTGAACATGTCCATGACCACACCGATCACCTGTGGGGCAAGAAGGGAGAGGCGGAGGAGTGAGGTATGGGAATACGCATCGAGTAGAGCCCCAGGGTTATGGACCCCGTTTATCTGCTCTCAGCTGCTTGCCTCCACCCCGAATGGCTAGAGTCCTCACTTCTAATCCTCGCCCTGCCAGTCCTAGCCTGCTGCTGCGTGATCTCAGGAGAAACTCCCTTGCTGCTAGAGTGGTGCGACCGTGGAAGAGGCTGCCTGGGGAGCTGATGACATCTCCTTCACTGGAGGAGGCCAGGTAAGCAGCAGCCAGGGAGGAGTGAGAAATAACATCTGGGCAGGAGGTTGGAGATGAGCCTCAAGGACCCTTCTGACCCCACGCTGCTGTGATCTGTTATGACCGGAGCTTTGCAATCCCATCCTTTTGATCACCATCTTGCTTCAGCTCCCAGCTGAAGGCCTGCCCATGAGATTAGGAATGAGTCTCTGGGTGTGGGAGCATGGGCAGCATCCAGCCTGCTTCGGAGCTGAAGCTAGCCGGCCTTTGCGAGGTATGAAGCTAAGGGCTGGTACTGCAACCACCGTTCCCCAGGGAGGGCCTGGGTTTGCCACGACCCATGGCTCTGACTTCTCTCTGGTCTTGAGACCAGCGTGGCAGCAAACAGCCCGCACCTTGGCAATGCAGCAGCTGCATGCCAGTCTGGGCCAGGCACTTCTGAACATACGCAGCCTCACTCCGGTGCGTCACCTGGGAGTCGGTGATGGCCCTCTGCTACCCTGAGTCAGTGCGATGCGACTCAAGTGGGTAAATGACCCCAGCACGTGGCACCTCAGCAAGGCCAGGACTGCGCCCTCCTGGCATCCCCCTGCAGAGATGGGCAGGGGGCAGGGACAAATGATCTGTCCTATGCAAAGTGGAGCCCATTGCTCCCCAAACCCTCGCCTGTGTGCCCTCCATGCCCCATTGCATTCCTCCCAGCAGGCTGACGCCCAGTTTCACACGGGCCTCCGGAGCCAGCCCCAGCCCTGGGCCAACAAAAATGCCGACATTGGCACATTCTTCCAGGGCAGGAGGAGGCCTCCACCCCCTTGACCTTCAGGCCAACATGCACCACCCTGCGAACTGCCCCACTCCCATGAGGTTGTCCCTGCCGGCCTTCACACCCCCACCCCTCCCAGCACCCTTCGGCACTGCTGCCATCCTCTTGCAGTCGGGTGCTTGCATGGCAAGCTGGTCCCTGGGCCCAAAGCCCTGAGTAAGGACAGCAATACCAGGAGCCTTCCCACAGCCAGCACTCGAGGGTGAGGAATGACTTCTGTGGAGCCAGCCTGTGTGTGCCTTGACTCCCAGGTCCTGTCTCTACCCCAAGACATCTCGCCTTCCTCAGAGTGGAAATGCCTGGGAGAAACACCTAGCTTCCTTTGGGCAAAGCACCGTGGGCTGGTGCTGCATAAACACCACCCTCCTGTCTGCAAATGCCCAGCCGCTTATTGCTGCCTAGCCCCTGCCATGAGGGGGCTCTGCAGTTCAACCCTCTGTTAAATGGACCTTCTGGAGGTATCTTGATGCCTCTTTCAGTTAAGAGACCCTCCGTCTCCTCACCCTGGCCTGGATGGTCCCTTTGCACCGCAGGCCCTGGGGGCTCCCAGAGCCCTGGTGGAGAGACATGGACCTTGGATGCGAGAGGGCAGCAGGGGCCAGCATGTAGCTCCATGTGCCATCTCGTTCTGGGCAGCTGCTGTCTGGCCCATTTAGCCCACGAGCCCCGTGGAGGGCGTGGGGTCTGTCTCGTCTGTGTGATGCTGGCACTAAAGCCCTACCGCAGTCCCGATGGTACAGGAGGAGGCTGCTGGCAAAGTTGGTTTTTTTTAGGGGATGGCCAAAGAAATTATTTTTGCCTCCTGCCTCTATGACTACCTGAAGGCCCAGAAGATGCAGGGGCAAGCACGGATCCTGGCACCAGCCCCCTGGGATCAGCCAAGGGAGGGCAAAGCATGTATTGGGCTGGAGGACTTTGCAAAGGCTTGTGTGCTGCAGACACGGCCTCTGTGCCCTTTGCTTCTTGGAGTGCCTGTGAGGAAGCACCAGCTTCCCAGATGTGGGAAGGAGGACTTCAGACTTTGTCTTCTCATTCACGCCCATCCAGCACTGCTGATGCTCCAGGGTGGCCCTGAACCCTTGCTGCAGGAAATGACCGCATGGGAGATGAGAGAGCGGTTTGCCCCTCGCTGTCATATAGTCCAAGCCGTCCCTTCCCATCCCTGGAGCCTTTGTAAATAGGGGGAATGGCTCTGTAGCAGAGGTGGCCCCAAAACCAGCTCCGACTAGTGCTGCCCCAACAGCCTCCAAGCTCTTCTTCCATCACCCCTGACTCCCAGCCAGCGGCAGAGGTACTTGGAACATGCCGCTGTACTGCATACTTGGATGGATAAAGTATTGAGAAACACCAGTGTGTTTATGTAGGTCTGTAGATCACAGCCCAGTAATGGGGAACGCTAAGGAGACGCTGACGTGTTGCATGCATGCGAGCCAACTCAGAATCCGACCTGGTGGTGTCGGAATGACTCTAATCCACTTTGATTAGCCTATAAATGTCGGGATCCTGTTTGACTGGGGGAATCAACAGGCCCATTAACATATTTTCTGATTCACAAAGCAATAACATCAGGCCTGCTGCACGGTTGCAGAATGAGTCCAGGCTATTAGCTGGACCCAAACGCACCATTAGGGGAATAATGAGTTGGGAAAGCTGTGGGTGGGACTAATGATAGTCCTGATCCCTCTCCCTTCTGCAGTGCCTCTTATCTGAGGATCGCACGTGTTTTGCAAGCGGCAATTAATGGAGCTTCATCACTTTCTTCACCGGTGAGGCTGAGTGTGCTAGCAATCTTCCAAGCTGGAAGCCGACAAAGGGAGAGTTGGAGGGTCCAGGTCAGATTCAGCCCCACTCCTGAATGGGAGCTTTCCCTAGCTGTCTGCTGATGGGCCTGAGGGGCTCTTGGCTATCTCCGAATATCCGGACAACAGTCAGTGCAGTGCCTGGACCCTGCCCACAAACCAATGCTGCCTTATTGTCCTGGGTCTGTGGGACTTCACATGGAGACCCAGTGAAGTGACTTGCCAGGCTTCGGGGACCCTGCGTCCCTTTCCTTGCTTCCACCACTGGGACATGGGGGAGAGGGGCAAAGCTCAGGGGTCTCAGCCAGATGCGCCTGGGTTTGGATGGAGGTCTGCGGAGGGTGGGAGGGAAGCTGCGATTGCTGCCTGGGCAAGGAGCAAGGCATCTGCTTTGTTTTATCTGCCTGTCGGGCTTCACGTGCCATGGGTTAGCCCTCATCTGCGTGGCTGGAGAAGTCCAGCTGGAAGGGATCTCCAGAGGTCACATCTGCTCCAACCCCCTGCCTGAGGCAGGACTGTCACTCTCTACAAATCCATTGTGATCACACCAAGTTGTGCTGTGTCGGGCAGTTGCAGCTCCGGTGCGGGCTGTGTCCTCACCAGGGGTCTTGCACTGTAGCTTTCCCTGCATAGTTAAAGCACTGTGTAGACCAGTGAGTCTCAACCTTTTTAGACGCAACCTGCATAGACTCGCGGCATCTCTTAAAAAAATGCCAGCTCTTAGTTTTCCTTCTTCTTTTGCCTGCAGGAAAATAATAGTGTGGGGGGTTTTTTGGTTGCACACTGCTCAGAAAAACCACAACTATGGATTTCTGTTTGAACTTTCTGGGCTTGTCTTGTGAATTATGTTTGCATACCTGACAGTGCTAATGTTGTGTGGCAGCCTGCATCACCCTTGAAAGGATCTTCAGGCACCTCAGGGTGCTGTGACACCTTGGTTGAGAATCACTGGTATAGATCCTGCCCTAGGCCTGGTACTGCCATAGCTACAGGGGAAGAGAGCCCTGGTGTAGACAGAGCTCTCCTGGTAGATAGTTTTCCTGCAGCCTTGATGAGGGGGGGTGATTTTTGCCAGCCCTGGGCCACATGGCCTAAGCCTCCATCGAGCGCTGTGCCGGCACGTGGTCTGGACTAGTCCGGAGAGCAGATGCATTGCGGGGACTTTGTCCCCCGCACCCAGCCAGCAGCCCCAGGTGGGGCAGGATCGATTTCTAACTATGCCTCGTCCTTTGAATGAGCTCAGCACCTCCAACTGCTCCCAGGATCAAGAGGCAGCCAAGCAGGCCAGGCTGAAGCTGCGCGAGCCATGATTGTCCTCGGCCAGGATGTGAATGGCCGACCGACCGCACGGCTCCTGAACAGCCAGAGGCAGGGCATGGCCTTCCCTGGCATGAAGCAACGTGTTGAAGATGGCCTGGGTGGGCGTCACGGGCAATTCCCCATGACGGAGGTACAGCGTCTCTCAGCGTTTTTCCATTTCCTCATCAGACGGCCCACGTGATGAGAGACAGAGAGGGAGCAAGAGGAAGGGAAAATGTTCTCTAATGCTAGAAAGCAGCAGCGCTAGGCATCAGACCTCCCTCACTGGGCGGAGGCTGCAGCTAGAAGCCAGACGCCCATACCGAGCTGTGTCCTGGCTTTCCTGAACAGCAGAGGCCGCGGGTGACTGAGTTAAACAGTGCGATGCCTAGAAAAATCCTGCCAGTCCCAAGACTCTGCACAGTCTCAAGAGC